AGCAGCAGCAGCAGCAGCAGCATCAGCATCAGCAACAGCTTCGGCAACAGCAGCAACATGAGAGATATGTTGATGGGGGGGTTTAGGCGTCTATTTGGGGGTTTAAATATTTCGTATTTGCCGTTCGATTGGACCCTACAAGTTAAACCCCACAAACCCTTCTCCCCTCAGAACCACATACTATAACCAGCAGCAGCAGCAGCAGCAGCAGCAATATTTGAACAGCTGCTGCTGATGCTGTTGGTGTTGCTGTTGGTGTTGGTGTTGTTGCTGCTGCTGCTGTTGTTGCTGCTGCTGCTGCTAGCGAGTTTGGGCGGGCAATGGGCCTGCAGTGGAGCTGCAGCAACACATATAACAGCACCATTAGCAGCAGCAACAGTACCAACAGCAGCAGCAATAGCAGCAGCAGCAGCAGCAAAAGCAACAGCAATTGCAGCAACAGCAATAGTAAATAGCAGCTAGACGCTGCTGACCTACGCACGCCGTTTTTTATGGTGCAGTACTCTGTTACTGCCAGTATTCACAGTTTAGGGTTTAGGGTTTAGGGTTTTGGGTTTAGGGTTTAGGGCTTAGGGTTTAGAGTTAGGCTTGAGTATGCAGCTGCACTCCCGTGTTAACTGCGCTGTCTGCGTCTGCTGTCGTATATTCCTGGGGTCTAAGGCGTAGGGTTTAGGGTTTGTGGTTAAGGGTTTAGGGTTTAGGGTTTAGGGTTTAGGATGCTTGTGAGCTGGGAGCTGCAGGGGTTCGTTTCTGTTGCTGCTGAAATATGAAAATATGCCGCCCAGCTAATCAAAGCAATGCGGCATAATAAATTTGTAGAGTGAGGTAGTAAATTATTTTTATATATATTATATATAACATAATATTTATATATATATATATATATATATAAAATATATAATAATTATTATGAATATGTTAATAATAATTATTATTATTAAATTATAATAATTATTATTATTATCAGAATGTTAGTTAGTAGTTAAAGTTATTATTATCATCACATTGATGTATTTGTATTGACTATTATTATTTTTTTTGCTGCTCGCGTATAAAAAATACTAAACTATGGAAAAAAGCAACAATTATGTTTATATATATTAATTTATATAAATAATAATAAATAAAATTAAAATTAATAAAATATTTCAACAGATGCAAAGGTAGAGAGGCCCCGGGTGTCTAGGCAGCTCTCCTCTCTCCAGGATGAACTCGCGTTAGATAAGAGAGAGACTTTCTATTAAAGTAATTGTTTGGACTGAATAAACAAAATAAATAATATAAAAAAGAAAATAAAAAAAATTATATTAAATAAAATGGTGAGAAACCCCCT